GGTGGAGGGCCAGAGGCACTCACCTCTGCACTCCCCAGCCAGGCCGCGCCGCTCAGCACAGCGCTGGGCTCCTGGAGAACCGCGAGCGGCTGGGAGGAGGAGCCGCTCCCGCAGAGAGGGCGGGCGGCGGGCAAGCATCCGCGCCCTGGGCTGCGGCCCGGCTGCAGCCGGAGAGGGGAGGGGGCGTGGAGATGTGTGCCTCCACCCAAGACAGAGAGGGTGGGCTGCTGGAGCCTGGCGGAGGGGTGTGCTCCTAGGCACTGGGGGGATCGAGGAAGCCGCGCAGAGACTGCGCGAGGGAAGGTGGGAGATAGGGGTGGGGAGGGGGCGGGGGAGGCCAGGATGGGAAGTTGGCCCTCAAACTGAACAGCCCTCACCTCCGCACCATCCGACCAAGAATTGTCTGGGTCTGGAGCAAAGCACAAGCGGGACTAAAACTTTATGTCATTTTCTCATACACACGTGACCCCCCTGCAGTCCAGATGGTTTCAATCACTGGAGGAAAAAAGCGGCTCTTCTGGTATGCAAGAAAAGCCGGAGCTGGGAGAGTCTGGGAAAATGCTGCCTGTCTTCATACAAACTGATGAGTTCTTTCCGTTCTTTCAGATCTCGGCCTCGGGAAGCCCTACAAAACCAAATGGCAAGAAGTTACCTTGGGTACTGCAGCAGTAGCGAACTCAAAAAGCATTAAGGTTCCTAGATTCCTGGTCTGAGCCAAAAGCTCAAAGGGCATTTTCAGAATTTAAAATGTTCCATGGGCTTATAAAACCAAAAACTTGAAAACGGTGTCATTTAATAATAAAGCAATGAAATACTAGCAATGAGAATATGTGCTTTATTAGTGGAATTCTGAAGGAAAATGTTAACCCATTATGACAGTCTGCTTGAAAAACAATAAATCACTGAAAAATCCAACCCCTATATACTTGGTGAGATGTAACCCAGTTTCTCCTCCTATATAGTGATATCTATAAATAAACCTTGGTACTGAAATGTACAAATCTGCAGAGCAATAATGAAAATTGACTTTCGAAGTTTAGAATTTCAAAATTTACAATTTTACATGGACCAGGAACCAAAAGCAAAGCTGTGGCACATGCCTGTAGTCCTAGCTGCTTGGTTGGCTGAGACAGGAGGATCACAAGTTCAAAGTCAGCCTCAGCAATATTGTGAAGTTCTAAGCAACTCAGGGAGATCCTGTCTTTAAATAAAATAAAATTTAAAAAAGAAAAGAAAAGCTGTTTCAAAACCCAAACCAATTCAATTGTCACATATCCTAAAGAGCTATTTACTCAGCTGCAGACAAGCATCAAAAACAATAAGGAGTTTAAGGTTCAGCCTGCAAATAACTTAACCTGTTCATGATCAAACACTAATATGGCAAGAACCACTATTTGATTTCATAAAGTCTATTGAGTCTTTGCCAAAAAAATAAAAAATAAAGGATATTATACATGAATTACTAGTATTAACTCTTTGGCTACCTAACATTGATGTCAGAGGATATGTTTGGCCTGTTATATGCAGTGTGACTCAGTTATCTAAGTGTGGAAAATAAACTGATTCCTGGTAAACTGAATTGGTTCTAAATTAAGAAAGCCCATGATTCCAGCTATTGTTGAAGCACACTGGAAAACACAGGAGACAATTTGAAACTAAGCGAGTCAGAACAGGTTTTATTCTAACTCAAAATTTAACACTTTCTACTGTAGTTCACCCATATTCTTGAACCCCTTAGGAAAACTGGGTCATATTTAGATAGATTTAACTCTCCAACCTTCTACAATCACAAATTATGGTGGTTATAATCCCAACACAGAAGGAAAGAATTCATGGATGTGAAAACAAGCCACAGATTTTAACAGAGCTCCAGGTAAATTCCACCTGCAGCATACAAAGCGCTTTACAAAGCTTTTGTTTTGTTTTGTTTTGTTTTGTTTTGTTTTGTTTTGTTTTGTTTTGTTTTGTTTATGGGGACTGGAGGGAGGCATACATAGCATGCTAAGCACAAGCTCTACACTGAACTAGTTTCTTAAGTTTCCATTTCTAAAACCATTAAAACTTCTGTTAAAGTCCTGTTTTTCTTGTGACATCTGTAAAGAAAGACTATTCAACAGAAGGCATCAAGATTTTTCACTATTCAGACCCAGAAGAGTAATTATTTTCATCTCTGAAAGCTATTGCTACTTCCTCTTCTGTGTGATGAAATAATGTAAGAAGGCAATAATGAGATACAAATAATTAGTTTTATCTGCCAATTCTATTTGCAAATTATGCATGGGACTTTTTTAATTGCTAAAAAAAAACTTTTATTAAATCTACTCTTGATGTTAATTTTCTAAATAATAATCTAATAATCTTTTGTAAATATAGTCTTGTTTCTAAGACCCCACTTTATGAATATTAGTTAATGTTAATACTAGCCAAATATGTATTAGAGACACTGACATCTAAAATATTTTAATGCCATTTTGAGTGGCATTAACTTAGTAATTTGCATTAACCTAATGTTCACATCATTTAAT